CACCTATCTGAGATTTGCTTAAATACATAATAGTCCTATGATAAACGCTATTGCATTTTTTATATTATCAATTTGCAAACACTATACATACATACATATATATTTATGCTGCAAAAATTGCCACTCACCATCCTGAAGTGGCACCAATAGCTATTTGAGTGTACGCAGATCGTGAGCTTATATCACCGAGGACACCACCCAGAAACTTTGATGCGTCTTCCGTCATTTTCTCGACTCTAGCGTTATTAGCGTTTTTTTGTGATTTTGACCAATCGCTCATGCCTATTATGTGTTTGCACGGTTCAGCTTAATTATATTAAAAGTTTTATGTTAGAAAGCAAATATTAAAAAACTTTAATTTATCGATTATATAATTACCAGACAATGCTGTTATTTCTCTTTTAAATATGGTATTTCCTTCGTCTCTTCTTAGTAAAAATTACAAAGATTTCCCGAAACAATCACAAACAATTTTTTCTCCAACTGATGGGGATGTCAAATAATCGATTAACAACGATAAATTCTATTGAATTCTATGAGCTTTCGCAAGTGTTAAATAGTATATGGGTTAATAAGGGTTGCAACTATTATAAGGTACACATTTTCACCAAAATTTTAGGAATTATATTAAAGTATGCTCAAAGCTCTAAAAAATAAATATGTGATTTATGTTTTATAGTACAGAAATCACTATTCGCATATTATATACACACCTACTCGTATACTCAACGAAAAATTGTAATGCATTAAGTGGTCGACACCGGAAGATTACGATTTATATCCGCTAAATGTTGTTCGAGCTCTACTAAATTGAAAATGTGGTCATCCGGGTTGATGCTAGAACATCAAATGAGTAACGATAATGGCTTACTTCTAAGCTCTTTTGGAACAGTTGTTCGAAGGGTACATACGCTGCTCTACTCATTTTACTTAGAATAGTCTCAAAGGTAGACGTCTGTTATTAAATTTTCGTAGAAGGCATAAACTATACAATTATTGTTATTAAATTTCTGTAGAATACATTAATTATGTAATCATTGCCCTTTTATGAGTATAAATGTGTGTACATATGTACACCTAGGAATTGCTTAGCTGATGTGTTCTTAAAATACTCGCCGTATCCCAGTCCTAACAACTTGTATTAGAACATATGTATGTATGTTGGATCAATTTAAAATGCGTGCGCACAATGTAGTGAGCACTAGTTAGTTTAAAGAATCATCAGTACGCACTTTATTTAGTTTCCACTTTATACAGGCATTTTACCATTAAATATTTCTTAGTCATAGCTATAAAAACATATTATATTTATTTAGTATTTCACAAATTAACGATTCAATTTCAAAATTTGAAAACGCAAATTAATTTAAATTTCACTGCATATGCGTTATCAGCTTTTTTGATAATTATATTTTTTATCATTTTCATAATGTAAATTAGTTTACTACATTATAAATTATTTCGAAAATAACGTATATTTCTTAAAAGTTATGTTGTATTGCATGACAGACATAAATTTTACTTATATATATCATTTATACCTACACATTTGGGTACATAGCATTTGTAGTAGAAAGTATAATTTTAAAAAGAAAAACTAATTAAAAACGTATTTTGTAATATTATAATTTCATACGAACAGCAAATATCATTTCAATTTTTTCAAAACGCCATTAATGTTCGGTTTGTTTGAAATGAACTTGAGGATTTATAACCGATTTTCTTTTACTATACTTCAATTTTCTTACTGAAACAATTAGTAATAAATAGGAAAAAATTATATATTAAACTAAAAAGTCTATAGTAATAAATTAATATTAAGCTTAAAGGCCTATTCACACACCCTTTATGGACAAAATAACAAGACAATGTAAACAGTGCTCAGAAGATATTAAATAAAATAATTTATAAATAATGCCACCTTGGTGCAAAAATAATATATATGCATAAGTGTTATATAGTCTATTAACATATTATTATTTAAAATGTAATTAAATAGCTCCCAACTTAAAAGTAAAAATAATAAGTAACTGCTATCCATGTTTGTGTAGCAAGGTACTGATGCTATCAAATAAATATATATTTTCTAAGGAAATGAGCAGGGCAACAGAGTTTTTACACATGTAGTCGCGCATGCTTTCATCAAAATCGCCAAAAAATTTATATATTTTTAACTAATTTATAATTGAATTGCATAAGCTCTAAATAAGTTATTAAATAAACTATTTACTACTTGCCACGTCTTCGCGAAATGTGCGAGTGTACAATTTTCACACTGAGTAAGCGTTTATGAGCTTTTAAGAAACTAAAAAATTTATTTTATAATAGTCAATTTCACGTTTTTTGTTTGGAAATTGTTTTTACTTTTATTTATAATATTAATATTTTCCAAATTCTTTTTAAGTTCTAAAGTTTCCGATAAAATACCGGCAATTGTTTTTGATAAAAAAATAATTAAAAGTTCTATTGAAAAGCATAGTAATAGTTTAACAAAACTGTTACAAACAAATGCATTAATTATGTAAGCAATATCGCTTGTAATATATGTATTTCATAAAGATGAAAATTTTTACTACCAAAAACAGTTTTTTAAATATTATCTGCAACATTTTTCGATAATGAAAAAGTGTTTACACTACTAAAAGAATTTTAGACTACTTTTCGTATGACTTGTAACATT